ATCAATAAATCTTAGCTGTTATTATTTCTATGATAATATTTCCTAAATTAAAAAAAAATGGACAAACGGATGGTCTGAAAACAGAAAAAATTTCTCAATTTTCACGTAATGCCGATTTTTGCATAATGACCTGGTCTTTGGAACATAACCATGTGGATAAGTGAGAAGTGGATGTAACCCAGTCATAAAATAGCTAAAGGACTTGAATAGATATTTCACCAGAGAGGACATTCAGATGGCCACCAAACAACATGAAAAGATGCTCAGCATCATTAGCCATCAGAGAGATGCAAATCAAAACTACAATGAGATACCATTTCACTCCCACTAGGATGGCTAAGGGGGAAAAAAAAACAACAGAGAACAAATGTTGGTGAGGATGTGGGGAAATTGGAATCCTTACCCACTACTGCTGGGAATGCAAAATGGCACAGCCATTGTGGAAAACAGTGTGGTAGTTCCTCAAAACTAAAACTAGAATTACCATATGACACAGCAATTCCACTCCTAGGTATATACTCAGAAGACTTAAAAGTAGAGACTTGTACACCAATGTTCATTGCAGCACTATTCATAATGGCCAAAAGGTGGAAATAACCTAAATGCCCATCAGCAGATGAATGGATAAACAAAATGTGGTACATACATACAATGGAATACTACTTAGCCAGTAGGAGAAATGAAGTCTTGATATATGTTATAATATAGATGGAGCTGGAAGACATTATGCTGAATGAAATAAGTAAATCACAAAAGGACAGTTATTGTATAACCTCACTTATATAAAAAGACAAGAAAAGACAAATGTATAGAGAACAAAGTTTATTAGTGGCTACCAGGGGCAGGAGAGAGGGGGAAAGGGTGGGTTAATGGTGACGGAAGTATTGAGTTGATTAAGGGTAGGGTTGCACAGCAGATTATTAATTGCTGTCAGTAAGTTGTAGATACGTAAAAAGTTGAATTGGCAAAAGTTGTGTGATAGATATATTTATAACAACAACAACAACAACAAAAAAGTAGCTGCTGAGGCTGCTTATGTGCAGCCAAGCGCTTCATGGGATATGGTTTCTTGGTTTGGAAGTTTAGGGTCATGGTTTCATGGAATATCCAAGTTAATTGGCTTAATACCTGCTAGCATGTTTAGTACCTCTGTTCTACCTCTTATTTAGATGTGTAATGCCTGGGGTCTTAAAAGCTTGCAAGCGGCCATCCAAGGCACAACAATTGGTCTCTATTCACCTGGAACATCAGAGGAAGAAGGAGAGTCAGCAATAGAAGGAGGATATGGAATGTGTGGCTAATTACCTCCATGAACACCTGCCTCCTTTGCCATGAGACCAGAAGAACTGAATGGTACCTGGCTACCATTACTGAACATTTTGATCAAAGATTCCATAGAAGAATCCTGATCAAAAGGGGGAAAATGCAGAACGGGATGTCAAATGCACGTGGACTCCATGAAGTTTGGATGAACCCCTGAAACAATTGCCCTGAGATGATCTTTAAACCTTAAACCAAAAATATCCCCTGAAGTCTTCTTTAAACCAAACAACAGTTTAGCTTAACTAGTAAAAAAAAAAATCTGCCTTGAGCATTATGCTCTTTTAAGAACTATCTACATGGGATCAAACTGACAACAGCAGCTCAAAAGATTAGATAGGAACCTTAGGGGTAGTGAATGTATGGTAATGGGGGGTGGGGAACAACTCAGAAAAGGAGGATAAGAATGTTTACACAACCTGAAGAATGTAACCAATGTCACTAAATGAGACCTGTAGAAACTTGAATTGGTGTAGGTTTTGATGGGTATATTCTCAACAATAACAACAAAATAAATTATGTTAAAAATAGATGTGATTAGCTTTACTTGCAGAAGATTTGCAAGGGGTTTCAGGGAAATGATGTATCAGCTATAAACTCATCCAGCTAATCTGAAGGAAAATTTGTGGAGCAGGAAAGAGCCAGATATAGAGGTGCTGACTTGTGAAACATAGTAGTAAGTGCATTTCTAGCTCAAAGATTCAAACTTCTAGTTTCCTAATCATGCAAAGGAAAAGAGGCGATGATGGGCAAAAACAAAACAAAACAAAGCATTTACTCATTTGCATCCTCCTTGCCCAAGGTCCTCCTCTTTCATCAAAACTAGGAAAGCAATCAGTATGGTTTCACACAGGGGTTAGAGGGAAAATGGCTGACAGACTGTGACTCGGGGACGAAGGACCGCAGGAAGAGGCAAACATGTCTGGTTAGGAGCCACCTAAATGCAACACACAGTGGAGGTAGAGCTATGGGAGCTGGACTTGGAGTTCACTACTGATTATCTAGCAAAGCAGGTCTGGGAACACATGCTCAGTGCAATTGCTTTCATTTCATTAATTCATTCACTTATTCATTGCAGATGTATAGAGCATCTATTATAAGTAAGGCTCTCCAAGGAGCACAAAATTATAAAATAATGGTAGTTCCTGTCCCCACCAAACATATAACTCAGTGTTTCAGTTACTAGCATTGCAAAACAAATTGCCCCAAAATTTAGCAGCATAAAACAACTATTTATTATGCTCATAGATTCTGTGGGTCATGGCACAGCAAGGATGATTTGTTTCTGCAACATAGTATCTGGGGACTTAGCTGTAAGACTGGAAGGCTGGTGGCTGGTGGCTGGAATCATCTGGAGCTTGTTTACTCAGATGTTTGATGTTTGGTGGTGGCTGTCAGCTGAGACCTTAGCTGGAGGGTTGGCCAAAGCTCATACACATGGCATCTTCATGTGGCTTGGGCTTCCTCACAGCATGGTGGCTGGGTTCCAAAGGTCAGTGCCAAAGAGTATGAGCTAAGCAGAATCTATCATTTTTATGACCTAACCTCAGAAATCATGTAGCATCAACCACTATATTCCATTGGTCAGGATAGTCACATACCGTGTCAAAATTCAAGGGAAGGGAACATAGACCCCTAACTATCAGTGGAAGGAATGTCAATCACATTGAACAAAAAGCATATACACGTATGTATATATAGGGCAGAGTAGAAGTACCCCATAGGATTTCCAAGGCTGTAATCTTACGGAAATAGACTGCCACATCCTTCCCCCGTAGAGCAGCTGGTGGGTTCGAACTGCTGACCTTTCAGTTACCAGCCGAATGCTTAACCACTGCACCACCAGGGTTCCTTTTAAGTATGTATATATGTACAAATATATAATCATCTTTGGAAAATACAATTTGCTACGCTTAGTAAGGGTGAAAGAAAAAATATCGCAATACAAAGAAAAAATGTAAGTATTTGTGATTATCTTGTAAGTGATGGTCCAAATAATCATCCAATTGAAAATGTATTAATAAAAATAACCCCTGAATACTATTTTTTCCAAGCTTGAATCACTTTGCATATACATATCATTTTCACTGTTTTTATGTTATCTTCTTACCATCTGCACCATTTTGTACTTATTTTTTCCCTCTTAAAATTGACCCACTGTTGTTTGGGTTTTTTAATTTAAATTTATTTTAAAAGCACACTAAATATTACTACAGAAAATAAAACTTAAAAAGAAGTATCACTTGCCATAAAATATAAGTAACCTTAAAAATAATAAAAGTAAAATAAAACAGTTATTAAGTGCTAGACATATTATTTTCTCTTGAAGGTTCTGAGTCTGAAGCAAGCCCCTTTCTCTGTCAAAAAGACATGCTAGCAAGTGTTAGATGTTAAATGCGCACTTCTCACCAAACTGAGACTCTCTTCTGCCTTAATCTGAAAGATTGAAGGAGAAGTGAAAGCGAATGACATCTTGTGAGGAGGTCAGTGATATTTAAGGCCAGGTTTGTATACCACCCAAGATCCTTTGAAGAACTATCAACATTGTAACCCTACATTTTTGGCAAGTACTAACCCAGAATGACAGAAATTATTGATAGTTTACCTTTCATCTAGCCTAAACCAAGTTCCTGGGATGCATCGGGGAGACCAGCAAACATCTGGCACAGAGCTGATGCTCATTAATTAATCAATGTATGTATAACCCGACATTTGGCAAAGTCTAGGTCCTTCACACCTCTATGGTGTTTTCCCTCCTAAACACCTCCCTGAGAGACCCAATGAACAGTAAAAGACCTTGTGTAGTTGGCTTGTACATAAAGCCTAACCTGTTGTTGTGGAGTCGACTTCCATTTGTGGTGACCTCATATTTGTCAGAGTAGAACTAAGCTCCATAGGGTTTTCAATGGCTGGTTTTTCAGAAGTAGAACACTAGGCGTTTCTTCTGAGGTGCCTTCAGGTGGACTCAAACTTCCAACCTTTCCATTAGCATCTGAGCATGTTAACTTAACCATTTGTACCACCCAGGAACTCCAACATATAACCCTAACCTTGCCACTATCTTAATACCTTTCCCCACATACTGGCCGAATTGACTTTTTGCTTCCCCGCTGTGGTGTAACTAATGCTCCTAGACCTTACAGGACCCATCTAAATCCCAAGGCCCCAAGGCAGCTTTGCACTTCTTAGTATGCAGGTATCTAAATCTTACAACGTTCATTCCTAAAACAATTATTAGCACCTGCTGAGGCCAGTGCTGTGCTAGACCCTAGAGATGTCAGAGGACACAAGAGATGGTAGACACTGTCTTGAAATACAGAGAAAAGCCATTGTGGGGCAGCAGTTGCACCCCTAAAAATTAATTGGCTGTCAACTCCATTCTCATTTTAGAGTATTCATCAGAGACCCCTACTTCCTAGGGGTTTTTTTTCATTAGGTAGAGATGATAAGTCGAAAGTAGGTGTAATTTTCATAGCCTTCTCTACCTGCACCTTTTTTTCATTCTGGTTTGCAGAGGCATTGAAACAGTCTGCAGAGGTGAGGAGCAGGACCAGGGCTAGATAATTATCTTCAGGGATTCCAGGCTGCGGCCTTTAGCACGCTGTAGGACTTTTAACAGTGGTGCCTTTCCAGGCATGGGGCTGGCATTAACAGACCTCCTTTTCCTTCTTTATTTATAGTCTGCTACTGTGAAGCTGTCAAAACCAGTGGCTCTGTGGACCCAGCAGGATGTCTGCAAGTGGTTGAAGAAACATTGTCCGAATCAGTATCAAATCTACAGTGAGTCATTCAAACAGCATGACATAACTGGTAAAGTATGCAGTATCCAAAATATTTCCCTTCTCTCCCCTCTCCCCATCCTGACGGCCTTTCCCACACCCTTATAATGAAACAACATCTTCCTGCTGAAATTTTCTGGCAAGGGTTTACTGTAAAGGGGTGATAAATGCCAGATCTGTGTGAGCCATGCTACTTAACAAGCGTAAGTGATTATCATGGGGGAACCGTGGATTTTGTGTGTGTAATATAAAAGTGAGTCAGAATCAATTCGAAAGCAGAGGATTTGTTTTTTTTTTTGGTTTAATGTAAAAGTGTGTGGGAATCAGGATAAGGGTTTGGGGAATCCCCCAAAAAATCAGAGCATGCGATCCTAGAGAAAAGGAAGGGAGGAAGCCTTTCAAATTAACTTGGTTACAGAATTAGTAGAGTGGATCTTCTTAGTAGGAAGAGAATTTCAGAAAAAAAAATTAGATAAGAATTTTCCTAAATAGGAAAATTCAGATTGAATAGTTTATATGCCTCAACTTCCAAAGTGAAATATAATAACACTAACTCACTGCCCCTGAAATGTATACCTTTGGGGCACAAATTAAGACTTCATTTAGGTCAAGAATATTTGAGTCACGGCTTCCAACCAGTTAGTTCAGGTTTGAACCCCTGCTGAGAATTTACATTTCTAACAAGTTCCCGAGAAGATATACGTAAGAATCTACATGATGTAGATTCTGATTCAGTATATCTGGAGTAGAAATGCAAATTATCAGCAGGGAACCCCAGATCAGAATGAACCAGAACAAACTGGTCCGAAGTCCTGATTGAAGTATTATATTGTGAAGGTCTGGAAGCATACAATATGACAGTATAATGAACTGTACAGGCCCTTCAGAACATATCTCAATTAGGGGGTAGGGTGGTCAAGATAAAGGGAATATGCCCACTAGGGGAGCCCATCAGAGTAAGGGGGTCTTTTCTAGACCTCTCTCGCCCTCCTGCCCTGAGATTCTGCCTGCGGGTGGCATTCCTCCACCCTCCCTCCTCCTCCACAATTACTGCGATGAAAGAAAGAACTGAAGAACTCTTGCTGGGCACCAGAACTGTGCAGCTTCAGGGGAAAACAAAAAGGTAGAGAAGCCGTGATTGTAGTCCAGATCCTCCCTTTTTCTGAGAGAAACCTGAGACTCCGAGTGGGAAAGTGACATGCCCTGGAGTAACTCAGCATTCTAGATGCCGAGACTTTCCGCACTCATCCTTTCTATCTTGTTGTTTCCATGAGAGAATAATCCTAACTTCTCTCATTGTTCCGTTCACTACTATTGCTTTGGAAAGGAACACATGAAGCAACAAGTATTTCTTCTTGCTACTTAGTTCCTCCCTTTGTAGCCGTGAGAGCTGGGGCAAATCCCTTCACTCCCAAGGTCAGGACTCTGATCGGTGGTTTTCATAGTGTGTTCCGCAGAGCCTTGGGATGCGCTAGAGACTGCCAGAGGGGCAAGGGGCCGCTGTGGGTAAAGGTGGGTGCTTCACCCATTGCAGCTCCCTTTATGTCTGTTTTACACATTCATATCATATAGAAAACTTGATTTGAGAAATGATTCTAGCACTCAATAATATTTAAAAAATGCTGAGCTAGATCATAGATTTCAGCTGACAATATTTATAGTGTCTAAATATATATGGAACACACCCAGTATTGTTCACGCTGAGTTAAAACAGGGAGTGAAATCTTCTTAACTTACATATAAAAAATAGTCCTTTATGCACTTTCGCCACTTCCCAACTTGAGGTAATGACCCATTTAGATGAAATTCCTAAAACCCTGAAGGCAGTGTAGGAGCTTAGTTTAGATCCTAAGTGTCTAGATTTCATTTCTTTGTCTCTCCCTTAATAATATATGAAAAGCCCACATAGGGACAGCTCTTCCACCCCTAAAAGTAATCAGTCAGTTAGTAACCATTTGCCTGATTACTGTAGCCTTCATCAGATAATGGCTGCTTAATATTTCTTAATGTCTGTGCCATAGTAATGACAAAGCCTTTTTCATGATCTCATTTGAAAGAAGTATTACCTTTTATTAAGGGTGAGAATCATGACATACCCTTGAGGGAAGGGTAAGCATTTGCAAGGGTTTGAAGAGGATGAGCATTACACCCCTCAGAAATAAAGATGGCATGCTCCAATGCGTCTGGAATAAATGGTACCACTTCCCAAGGTGTTCTGCTAAGTGACATGAGGAAATGGGAATGAGGCACGTGTTTCAAACAGCTCTCATCTTGCTTTTGGTGGCACACTTGGTCTCAGTGAAACACTTCTCATGTTGGGAAATCACATCCTTCTTGCAATATTGGGCAAGGTGCTTAACCTGGAATAGTTACTTAACCTCACTTCTTCATCTCCAAAATAGAGATAATAATAGTACCTATCTTAGGAGTTGTGAGGATGTAAATAAAATCATATATGTAAACAGCTACATTCAGTCGTTTATTGACACCTTCTACGTGCCAGCATTGTGCTATTATTCATGTCAGGACTCATCTGGAGAGTCTAAAACCATCCTACTACTTCATCTAAGGGCAGCCTATTTTCTGGCAAGAAAAGAAAGGAGGGAATTATTTGGGGATTTAGGAAGCCAAGACAAGGGTTTCAGATTAACATTTGGTCCACATCTTTTTGACATTCACAAAGGACAACCCTCCTCCCCTGTTCTCTGACCCCTGCCTCTGTAAGGATGAGTGTAAAATACCCAAATGTTCATAAGTGCGAAGTGGTCAGAAGACAGCTTCCAAGTAGCCAGCCTGCAGTTACCAGCTCTACAGTGCTAGAGGCAATGGGCATCCCATTACCTTTGGAGACTGTGATAAACTGGGCAAAGGGGTTCGTAAAAATCCAAGACAAGTAATTACAGAGCAAACCTCAAAAGGCTATGCAGACAGTAGAGTGACTTAGGGAGAGGACAGGCCAGTGGTTATGAGTGCCAAGTAGAAAGCCAAAGCTGCAGCTTAGCTGTCTGATGTAAAGGTTACTCCGTGCACTTCGACTTCATCACCTGCAAAAAGATGATAAAACAGTAGTAGTATTCACCTCCTAGTGTTGCTGTGAAGGTAATTCACGGACAGAGTTAAGCATTCAGTGAATGTTAGTTGTTGCTGTTTCCCTGAGTGCCGTTCTGATTTCTGTGAAAACAAAACAACATACATAAACAGTGTTGAAGTCATCTATCTTCACTATCCTGAACATTGGGAAAGGGGCGCTTAAGTAAAAACAGAAAAAAGTCTGAACTTGTAAATATCCTGTGCTAACCTGCAAGGCTGCCGGAAAGGCTGCTCATGTGTCTCTGATTTGTCCTTAGCTTCTCCTGAGTGCTGCTGTTCATTTCTTTTTTTTTTAAGCAAAGATCTCCAATATTATGCTCAATGAGGAAGCATGTTATATCCATACAACACATAAATGTCCCTGGACTTAGAGACAGATGGTACAGTGATGGTAAATGAAAAGAATGCATAGAATATGGGAACAAAGAAAAAACACAGGCTTCTGAATCATCTGCCTGGGTCAGATCCTCCCTTGCCCTCGTCCACCCCAGCTTTGACACGTAAATGGTTGCAGAATGTTGCCTGAGTTAAAATCTCAACCTTAGTTCCTAGTCAGTAAAATGAAAATAATATTCGTCTCAAAGGGTTATTGGAAGGGTTAAATGGATGATGCACATGAAGGTCCTAGCTCAATGCCTGATACACAGTGAACACATACTTACTCACTTGGCAAGTGTTTATGGAGCATCTACCATGCACCAGGTTTGGGGAATACAACAGTAAAGAAGACAGTGGTCTATGTAGGAAAAGATTTTGCTTCCATGGAAAACTGTGCATTGTCTTTAGCATAGCCTTCTGGGTTATCCAGTTCTAGAGGAGCCATTTTACAACTCTAAGTTGTATATCACTGATAGCAATACAAAATAGTTCTTGTGGGTAGACGTGTAATGAGGGCAGTAGTGGTTCAGTGGGAGAATTCTAGCCTTCTGTGAGGGAGCTGGTTTGATTCTTGGCCCGTGTACCTCATGTGCACCATCATGCATCTGTCAGGGGAGGCTTGCATGTTGCTATGATGTTCGTTTCAGTGGAGCGTCCGGATTAAGACCGACTAGGAAGAAAGGCCTGGCTTTCCAAAAATTAGGCAGCGAAAAGTATGGATCACAACAGGCTGATCTGTAACCCATCCTGGGGATAGTGCAGCACTGGGCAGTGTTTCCTTTGGTTGTGCATGGGATCACCATGAGTCTGGGTGGCTCAAAGGCAGCTAACAACAACAGCAGACGTGTAAATTCTGTCCCACAGAGGTTCAATTGACTTCCCTCCACCATTGTGGAAAAGGCAAGTTTTGCCTGCAATTCCATATTCATTTCAATCTTCCTCATCTAAAATGTGTTTGCTGTTTGGATTCGCTTTGACCAGGTTTAACGTCTTACCAGTTTCCTCCTCAATGAGTTAAATAAAATCTTAAACATGTCCATTTTTGTATCTGTATGACAGTCATGATCTTAAAAAAAAATGATCATTTAACATTGGTAGTTTAAATTTGTTTTTAATTTATATTTTAGCAAACCATTCCACTATATTAACATTTTTCTGCTGCTTTGGTCTGAAGGACATTAAATTCTAAACAAACTTCCCTGGTGTCTCCAAAATTTAAGACAGCTTTAGGTATGTTTTAACTCACCTGCCTTTCAAAGCCTTTTGCAAATTTACTATTAGGGTTTCTGGCACTTTTGTTGTGTCCAGAAGGCACCTGCTATTTTATGGCAGGTGTGTCTGATCAGAAGAGAAGTTACTGGTGTTAACTCCCTGCAGAAGCTCCTTTAAAAAGGAATAAGATGGTTGGAACACCTGAGAGGCATTAGGGTTTATAGATTATAATTATAACTATCAGATTAGGCTTGAAGGATAGAAATGTGTCTGTTTTCCTGTGCTTGCAGGATTCCTTGCTTGGCTTTCTGAGGCCTGGAGTGGAATGCTGATGAGGGGGCTCTACTGGGG